AACGCCTTGAACACTCGTGGATTTTCTGAGTGATAGACGAGCAGCGGCTTGACCTTGCAATCGCCACATGCATTGGCGCAGAGCACGAGAGTAAGGCGATCCTTCATCGGTTTGTGGCCAGGCAATGATTGTTCCTCTTGCGTGATGTAGGTCCTCTTCGTCAGTTTTTTTCAAAAAAGGCCGGTCTCGTCACAATTGAAAACTTGTTGTGGCAGAAACTGCTCCTGATCAACAAATTTCTGGAACTCTGGCACAAAAGCCTCAGCAGCACCTTTATCAGAGCTGGCAGCCTCCCCATGTCGCACAACACTGTGTATACCACTCCTTTTCTTAAAGTTCTCAAACCAGCCACGGCTTGCCCTAAATACCTCCTCATCTTCAGACGACGCACCTGGTATCTTCCTGACAAGGTCCACATACAGCATCCTAGCCTTAGCGCAAACGATAGCTTCAGAGACACAATCGCCATGCAATTGTCGTTCATTCATCCACACCAGCAGTAGCCGTTCCACATCTTCCAGGAGTTTTGGACGTTTGCTGGTGAGCTTGCTAACTCCTTTGGCCATGTCAAGCGTCTTATATTTATCCTTGCCCTTCAGTATGGTGGATATTGTTGAGGGAGCCCTGCCATACTCCCTGGCAAGATCAACCACACGAATACCACGCTCGTGCTTTGCTATGATCTCTTTCTTCACTTCCACAGTGATTGCCTCTTTCTTCCCCTTGCAAACTCCTGCTTTCGCAGGCTGCTTCTTGGACGACATCGTGCGTTCAGAATTGTAGTCACAAAACCACAAAAAAAAAAAAACACGAATATCAGAATTGTGTGTGGAGCGATACAGACGGATACTGGTCGTGTGAGACACCAATACAACACTGTAGACAGTGGCGGCGTGACCCCACCATGTGGTGTTGACGTTACACAAACGAGCGTTCGTCATATGGGACGATTTCTCGCCGATCGGGCCAGTCGTTACCCAAAATATTCGCCTTGTGGGGCGATCGTTATGCAAGGTACCACTGTACTTGGATGAAAAAACGATTCTTCGCGGCAGGGGATCGTATTCCAGGGACCATAGGATTAAGGACTTGCCCGAAACGCTACGCGTACTAGTGGCTGTACAAGAATGTAACAACTCTTGTATATATCTCAAAAAAAAAAAAAAAAAAAAGTTACTCGGTTATTTTTATGGGCCAGGGTTCTTCAAGCATTTACATGTTCACTTATGAAACATGTACATCTTTCGTTGATCATGGCAGATTAATTCGTATTTATTGAACAGTTTGCATGCTTGTTATAGACAGCCTCAGCGGAGCTCAGAAAGTGTAATAGATACAAACAAAGGCTGCATAATTGAGGAAATATGAACAAGTTTACATGTACTCGTAAATGCTTCATGAATCCTGGCAAGTGATAAACTTATTTAACGTGTTAAAATACCTTGCTTTATTATTTGTATGATCTAGTAATTTACTATATGGAATAATTTTTAGGCACTGTAATACTGTATTGTATGTTGTATCTTAAAAAAATATTTGTGTAAAATTATTGTTATAGGCAGTAAGAATGCACACAATAACATTATTCTTCATAATATTGATGTAGAAGTAATTTACAGGCTCGTGTTGACTATTTTAATTTGATTTTGGAAATATGCTATTCTGAGGTATTCCTCTTAACTGCTCCCTAAGACAAGATGTACCCCTAGTTTTCCCGAGAAGTGATTTATGACAGTGAAGGCAGGTGAGGCACTGTGTTCATACAACAGAAATCTAATCAAACATCCTTGTCAACCAGGAGGCATAATCAAAGTGTAGGCTGTCAGGGACATTGATCCTGGAAACCACGTCAAGGTAAAAGGTAATGTACAGGTCATAGGACGGCAGTACTATACTGTATAATGCCAAGAATGGTATGGACAGGCTTTGAGTGCACGAGTGAGGCTGTTCTGGTAATGTCTAGCTCCTTTGACCCTCTCCTATGCCTCTCTTGAACTGGTATAACCCAAAAGAGATGTTGATGAGATCCCTGTTGTTCCTGTGCAGTGTATCACCTTACCTTGATGGTCATGATCCAAGAAAAGAATGGATGATGCTGTAGAGAGAATTCGTGTTCTCTTCAGAAAGGAGATTTTCATATTCACTCAAAGCCTGATTTATGCAAATGACATATTCCGAATATGACATATTCGGTCTTCTTTCAGGGGTATTTTTGCGTAATGTAGTACTGTAGTGTTGTAAGTATGACATGTTGGTTTGATTTTACAGAGTGCAGAGGGGAACTAATATTTTTGAAGACTGCCAAGAATACATTTAGTTTTGATCTTTGCCTCGAGTTTTGTATTAAGTTGTTTTTTGTAAATGGAAATTTGCCACACCAAATATTATTGAAGTTTGGAGATCCCAAGAGACTATCACAAAGCAAAATATTGTAGTTATTCAGAATTTGTGAAAATAAATGAGGGATAATTTTATATTTTGGTTATAGATTGAACACAACTGTAACATACCATCTTAATTATCATGGACAATTATTATTCACAGCTGTGAGTTGAGAAAGTGCAACATGCACATGCGACTCCTTTTCCCTGTTGTTACTCATGCCGAACAGTCTATTTTTATCCTCTTTCTACTTGTCAGCCTCATGGCACACTGGCAGTGGCCATGGCACACTGGCACAGTAGACATGGCACACTGGCAGTGGTCATGACATACTGGCAGTGGACATGGCACACTGGCAGTGGACATGGCACACTGGCAGTGGCCATGACACACTGGCAGTGGACATGGCACACTGGCAGTGGCCATGACACACTGGCAGTGGCCATGACACACTGGCAGTGGCCATGACACACTGGCAGTGGACATGGCACACTGGCAGTGGCCATGACACACTGGCAGTGGACATGGCACACTGGCAGTGGTCATGGCACACTGGCAGTGGTCATGGCACACTGGCAGTGGTCATGGCACACTGGCAGTGGTCATGGCACACTGGCAGTGGTCATGGCACACTGGCAGTGGTCATGGCACACTGGCAGTGGTCATGGCACACTGGCAGTGGTCATGGCACACTGGCAGTGGTCATGGCACACTGACAGTGGTCTTGGCACACTGGCAATGGTCATGGCACACTGGCAGTGGTCATGGCACACTGACACTGGTCTTGGCACACTGGCAATGGTCATGGCACACTGGCAGTGGTCATGGCACACTGGCAGTGGTCATGGCACACTGATAGTGGTCTTGGCACACTGGCAGTGGACACGGCAGACTGGTAAGATGGTTCATGGAGAGTGAGCATGGTACTCTGGCAATGAATATGGTATAGGGTAGCTAGCATGTTTCCAGAAGTGTGTGCATAATACCTGTATAATTCATTCTGTAGATTAGATTGATAATTCAAGAAATACAGTAAATGTTTTGGATTAATTAATTTCTAGATAATATAATTTCATTGTTGGGAACAGGAAGCTTGTTCTTAGAGCTACTGAGGTCCTCCTTCAAGTTCGAACTACTGACCCTTCCCAGGATGCAACCCACAACGGATGTCTAATTCCTGGGTGCCTATTTATTGCCCGCAAGGGGTTTTTGTGGCTCGGCATTTACCTACCCTTGGGGCCAGCTAGGGTGTCGTGGCCCTTGTTCGCCTTGGGTAGGGAGTGGTATTGTGCTGGTTGGGGCATCAAGGTGTTGTGCAGCCTGCCTATTTACATGGGAAACTGACTGGGAACTGAACCCAGGTCCCTCGGTTCTAAGCCGCGAACATTGACTGCTGTGATGATTTCTTGGCTACTGAACACACAAGATCATAGCTGCCTTAGGAATGGAGTATCAGGCTCTGTGTTGATTATTAAAGATTGTGGAATGATGGGTGTTTGGGTATTGAAAAGGCTGCCATACCAGTTTTGATCCATTACTCTGAAATAAACCCAGCATAAGTGAAAATTACATACAATATATTTATTAGAGAAGTGGATTAAAAAAATAGCCTTAGCAGAGAAGAACTCTTAGTAATGTAGTTCAAACAAATTACTACAATCCTGCACAGAGGATTGGATTATTTATTATAATGATTAGCCTTTCATAAGTTGTTCTTAATCCTCAAATAATTTTTTAAGAGGGAGGGAGGAAGACATGAGGAGGAGTACATAGAGGGGTGAATGGCTGACAATAGCCAGTATCTCATTCATGTCTATGAACATAGACATTCATGATGATGTACAGTATGTAGTTCTGTATACCTGAAAACATTTTTTCATATATTTTAAGTGCATTTGTTTTTACCTGTATCGTTATGCAAAGCTCTAGGAAAATAACAAAATAAACCTTATTAGGTAGTTTAATAGCTCTAATTACTTAGATTGGTTGCTAGTGATAGCTTTGAGTCTGGCTGGGCTGGTGTTCGATCCCCGTCATTCTAAGTGGTTCGGCACGCTTCCTTCATTCTGCCCTCAAATCACAGTCCCTTATTCTAATACCCCTTTCAAGTGCCATGTAGTCATATTGATTATATAGCACTTTCTCCTTATAATTACCTTCCCTGGGTGTTTGATGCTTAAAGGTATGAATATTCTTCGAGATCAGTATTTTAGAGAAGTATCTTTATGCTCTGTCCTGTTCTAATTCAGGATTTAAAATTTTTCGGTGTATACATACTGCAGCTATAAAACAATTGTTTTGTGATATATGTATATAGCAGACACCCAGGTTCAGCATCCAGGATTTAATGGAACAGTTGTGGGTTGCCTCCTGTTTAAGATCAGGAGTTGGCTTGAAAGGCCCTCATTAAACTTAATAGGCTTCCAGTTCCCTATAATGGGAAAACATATTCCCATTGGTAAATGGATAATATGTTTCATGCATTCTTAGCATGTACAGTATTTTATAATTAGACTATTATTAAACTAAATGGTAAAAAGCCTTTTGACGTGTGATTTGACTAATTTTTGTTGTTGTTTATTGCTCAATGAAGAGTGAAGTTTGACACTGACTTTCAGGTTTGAGTTCAGAGAAGGTTCCTCTCACAAACAACAGTAAGTATCAACGAGCAGAGAAGGCAGAGAAAATGATCAAGTGTTTTGAATTGGCCGGAGATCTAACGCTGTTGTACCTGCAGGAGCAGGACAAACTTTCCTCCACACCATCCACACATTCCTTGCAATCTTTGCCAGCAACCAGCACTACAGGTAACTAATTCATACGCATGGCCAATCACTTGGACTGGTCAGTAGAGCGAAGCCCTTGCTTCTAGCAGAATAAAGGCTTTGATTGTCAATGGTCCGAGTGGTTGGCTTGAGTCCTTCACCCCTGTCCTCATTTTCCAGCTCCTTGTTCTCACATCTCTTCCAAGTGCTATATAGTATAGCCATACTGGCTTAATGCTTACTTACCTTGTGGTGATTCCAAGGATCAACTCCCCGGTGGCCTAGTCTCTGACCGAGCCACTTGGTTGGTGGTCTGGTCAACCAGGCTATTTGATGCGGCTGCTTGCAGCCTGACATATGAATCAAAATAATCCTAATAATTATAATAATAAATTATTATTATAATTATAATAATTATCTAGCCCATATACTTGTACTGTATAGCAAGCTAATATTATTCTTTATGCAGACAGAAAGTTACAATAATGTGGGGTGAAAATTAGACACCCAATTCACACATGTTAAAAAAAATGTCTTAATGGTCCATGACAGACTGAAATGTCTTTAGTTCCTTTCTTTTCACATGTGTGATGGAGATGGTGATGAAGAGGTTAAAGATCGTGTTGATCTTACAAGAGTGAAGAGCATTTTGATGATTAATTGTGAAGTTTGTCATTGTTTTTCATGATACAACACATTATAGTATAACATTGGCTCATAGTTTTGCTGCATACTCATGCTCAGTGCCTGGGTTTTAATGTTCAGGGAGTCATCATAAACTCCACAAAAGAGATGATGGTGGAAGGCCCACCATCATATATATCATATCATATATCATATGATATGATAAGCTCTGATATCAGATATCAGAGTTTTGCTGATATCAGAGAATATCAGCTGTCTGATATTATAACCTGAATACCATCCAGGTTGTAAATGCACCTGGCATCTGATGACATAAAGGTTTTGAGTCTTGAAACGACTTAGAGCTGCAGGTGTTGTTTACTTTGTTCGTTTTATTTGGGTGTACATCAGAGGTCACCAAATGAGGGGGGATTTACTCCTTACTACCCTATTTTGAGAAAATTTTGAGGCAGTACAGCAGGATCAAACCAGCATACCAGGACTCGCCACCCACATCCACTACTGACTGAACTATGAGCTACCTTTCATGAAGCTAGAAACGTGCCTTGTTAATGCTCTCTGATAATTGCCAAAAAAAACATTAACTTGACAGCTGCCTCCACATGGAATATTTCTAGTAACCCATTTAATATTTTTTCAAGGTTCAACATCACCCCTACCACCCAATGGACTCGAGAACAAGAAGATTGGAGTAATTCTCGAAACAGCACTACAAAGAGCACCTATTCTTCACATGAAGGCTGGACAACTTGATAAAGCTATAAGTAGATACAGGTCAGACACGAACTGTGTTAGGGCATGCGAGGGTGTGTAAGGAACACGTCGGCGGTCACTGGGTCTTGTGGTGATTGCATCTCTCTCTTGCTGTTCATGTATGGTTGTGATATGTTTTGTTTACTTTTGTTCATTGACTGATTTGTTTAGTAATAAATTAAATGTTGGATAAAAATATTTATAATGAAAACATTGAGAAGAGTAAGAGCATGTAGTTTTACCAACTGCAAACAACCAAAATTGTAAATACAAAACCCATGAATAGTAAAAGTTTGTTGTACTCAGATAGGATCTGATGAATATGTGGATAATGAAGTCATTGTATTATACTTGAGAGTAAGAGGAGGAGGATGGCCAAGTTGAAGACAGTCATGGTGAGTGAGTGTGTCACAAAGTGGTGAGCGAGCATGTCACTAAGTGGTGAGCTAGCATGTGTCACTAAGTGGTGAGCATGCATGTCACTAAGTGGTGAGCGAGTGTCACTAAGCATTGAGCAAGCGATGACACAAAGTGGTGAGCATGTGCGTGTCACTAAACACTGAGTAAGTGGGTTTAATAAGTGATAGGGAAAAGGCAAGGTGGTATCAGTTTGTCAGGAGGGTGACAGTTTGATATGTTTGTATATGACAAATTGGAAAAATTACTGCACATCTTCTCCTATGAAATGATAGTGGTGTTGATGTGGATAATTTGCTGGTACTGTATGTTGAAGTGCTGGTTCTCTATCATCCTGGAGTGTGGTGGTGCTGGTTCTCCATCATCCTGGAGTGTGATGGTGCTGGTTCACCATGATCTTGAAGTGTGGTAGTGCTGGAGTGCAGTGGATCTGGTTCTGTAGTGATGCTGGAGGGTGGTGATGGTGCTGGTTCTCTATGATGCTGGAATGAGGTACTGTACTGCTGAACCTCCATGAGGCTGGAATGAGGTGGTGCTAGATCTCTCTGATGCTGGAGTGTGGTGATGCTGGTTGTCTGTAATGCTGTGTGGTGTGTAGGATATGGTGAACAGATTAGCATTACCTTTAACATCATAAGGCTTTTCTCTCTGTTTCTGCCTTTACCGAGGCCTCTCCCACTTCGTACAAATGGGTAATAATGATGCTCGTTCCTTTTATTAAATTATATCATTTTTATCAAGATGTCAAGTTTTATCCTGTGTACATTTATTAATTTTGTTTTCTGTGGGGAGCCTCTTTGGCTCCCTGGAGCTATCGGGCCGATATGTGATATATTAGACCGGGGCATTAGTCTATGGAGTTTGACCTACTGGGGACCACAAACCAGAACCTGACCCCCTCAGAGAGGTTTCAGGGAGCAATAGCACTGGAACCCTCCCACCCCCTGTGGTTGGAGGTTTTCCTTATCTGCTATTGACTGGGGCTTAGGCACCCAGAAAAATAGGCATAACAAAACAAACCCCATATACGTGGGGTTTGGTAAGAAAATTACAGCTAAAAACCAAAATATGAGGTAGAACTTCCTCCAATCCCAAGGAAACAAGCAAACGTCACATTCCACTGCGCCTAGCCCCTCGACCGCACAGCCCCGGACCTCCCTGGGTTGGCTACCCAGCTCTCCAGTTCGTTAGCTAATGTAGTTTGGGGCAGATGTCTTCTCTAGCCTCAATTTCCAAGGCGGTGTTTTGCCTTCGTGTCGACCTCTGCAGTGTTGTTGTATGTGGTGGCCAGGTGTCCTCATCAGTGCCAGGGCTGCATGTGCTTAGGGGCATCCTTCCCTAGGCACCCTGTGAGTACTCCCCTTGCTTGTTAGGGTTCCCTTCCCTGGTGCGTTTCGGGAAACCATTTTCGTAGGGGTTTTTGTTTGCTCAGCATTTACCCCGCCCTTCGGCCCAGCTGAAGTTTCGTGGCCCTTGTTTGGCCTTGGGTAGGAAATGGTATCGTGCTGGTTGGGGCATCAACGTGTTGTGCTGCCTGCATACCTATGCGGCAGCCAGTTCCTATTTCCTCTGGGGATATTGTACTTTTGCGAGTGTTTTGTTTTGTTTTTATTTTTTCTTGCCTGGTCAGGGTCTGCCTGGTGTGGCTATCGTTCCACTTATGATATTTTGGTGGCCCTCTGCTAGACCTTCATGATTGTACACATCACAGAAGTTTCAGTGTTTTGATTTCCCCCCTTGGTAGCATTGGGTCTCAATCGGTTAGCAACACCTTGCCCGGGCTTCCCGTAGCAGTCAGCCTACATGCCCTGTCGGGGCTCGATGAACCACTAGGTGCGTTTTCCAGGTTCCAGCCCAACTTGTGTGGGTTCGAAGGTTGTTGTGCACCCTAGTCCCAGGGTGACAGTCACCTCTTTTGCCTCCATCATGCTGCCTGTTGGGTCAACGACACCTTTGACCCAGAGTCTTGCCAGTCATATTCTCTGCTTGTACTCTAGTATTATTCTGATGAAATTATTGTTAGGGTACAGGCAGCATCCTCGTTGCTGCAACGCGCTAGATTGGTTTCCTGCCTGGATGCCCTGCGGCTGCCCCACTTTTTTTAGTTATAGGGCCCCGGACCTGAGGGTGTTAGTTGTTTCGACTTGGTTCAGTCCACGCTCCCTTGTCCTTCCCCTGTTGTTCTTCTCCACACACCCCCCCCCCCTGTTTCCGGCTCCCAAACGTCTGAGAGTTTCGGGGTTGGAGCAGGGTTTTTGTTGGTTTTGAGACTCAGGCTGCTTCGGGGGCTGCCCCATTTGGGTTGGGGACAGAGGCATTCGAGCCGGTTTCTCCCACTGAGGCTTCTGGGTCCCACCAGCAGGCCCCCCTTCTTTTCAGCCTTTTCCCTGGACTCTGCTTTTTCTTCAAGGGGTAGATGCTAAACTCTTGCCTGACATCAGCAAGAAAAGTTTGTTCATCTGACATTGTTTCAGAGGAATAGAAAGAACTGTGATTATAGTACTGTATTGAATAACAGTAACGGTGAATATTGAGAGAGCATGAACAAAACGTGCACGAGTCTCCTGTGTGTTATGGATAATAGAACAGTGATGGAGTGATAGAACAGTAGCTATAAAAGTACTGTATATAAAAATTATCAGAGCAACTGGTATATAATGAATAGGGAGGTATTGGATCTCCATTCTTATTATTAAAGGTTTCTTCATCGAAGATTTATTTGTATGCCCTTTACAGTGAGGCTATGGCAGTGAGGGAAGCAGTACTGAGCCAGTCACCAGAGTTCAAGAATGCTCGGGTTCATGCCTACGACAACGCTACTGCTGTTTATGACCTTCTCTGTATATCACTTGCGAGAAGAAAACAATTTAAAATTTTGATTGAGGTAAATATGCTGTTATTTCTATTTGCATAATGATGTGTTGATCGGAATGATGAATGAGCATGTTGCAAGTGTGGTGCCTCATGTATGGTGCCTCATGTATGGTGCCACATGTATGGTGCCTCATGTGGGTTTTTGATGTGTGGTTTTATCCGAATTGGTGATGGAGAAGTGTTGGGTGGGACAAGGAGTAAGAACTTTATTATTGAATTAAAATAATGGTTTCTTGGGATGCAAACTGAAGGGGACTGGACCTGACTTCATTTCTTGAGCAGGGATATATGTTTTATGTCAGTCTTTTTCACCTGGTGCTTCTGTTCACTTTGCAGTAAATAGGTACCTGGGAGTTAAATATCCATTGTGAGTTGCATCCTGGGAAAAGGTCGATAGTCGACCTAGGAGACCTTGGTAAGCCTAAGTACGGGCATCCTGTCCCCAACAACTGGAATTATATACACTTTTAGGGAAAGGGAATTACTGGAAACAACCAAAGCAACAAGGAATATAGATCTTCTTGAGGTTATCTTGAGATGATTTCGGGGCTTTAGTGTCCCCGCGGCCCGGTCCTTGACCAGGCCTCCACCCCCAGGAAGCAGCCCGTGACAGCTGACTAACACCCAGGTACCTATTTTACTGCTAGGTAACAGGGGCATTCAGGGTGAAAGAAACTTTGCCCATTTGTTTCTGCCTCATGCGGGAATCGAACCCGCGCCACAGAATTACGAGTCCTGCGCGCTATCCACCAGGCTACGAGGCCCCCTAGATGCTGTAAGTATTTTACTTTCTCTGCCAGTTTATTGCCTACAGATTTATACCCATTCATATTAATTTCTTCAGGTATTTGAAAGAGCAATGAAGTTCTCTCATGAAGAAGGTCATGTGTGGCAGCAGTTTGGCCTTGCCTTGGCTTGTGGTCGTAAGGATATACGTGCACTTCTGGTGATGCAGGAGGTTCACCGCTTGTTACCTGCTGAGCCCCACTACTGTCTCCTGGCTGCCAGAATATGCTTCCAACAGCTTGGCAAGGTCAGTATATTATGTTAGGAAAGGCAGTAGGTGGCAGGGGAAGAAAAGGGAAATAATAGAGTAATGTATTAAGCATATGCATGAAATTAAATGTTTTATAAGGGCAAGGGTCCAGGATGGACTGAAATGATATCATTTCATTGATATCAGTCCTCAGAAGGAGTGTTGACTCCTTCTGAAGATGTATTAATATACAAAAGTACTTAAGGAAATTCCTGTTTCAATTTTCCTCCGTGGTCTGACACTGTCACATTTTTAATCACGTGTTTATTTTTCGTGATTTACACACATGATGATATATCTTTAGATTGAGGAAGGCCTGGAATGGGTAGACAAGGCTTTAAAGTCTTCAGAGGAGAGGAATAGTGTACTTGCTGCACGTTGCCACCTCTACTGTGGTCTGGGGCTCACACTGAATGCTTACCAAACTCAGCGCCAAGCCAGCTCCCAGACATTAAGGACAAAGGCACTCGAATCCTTCATCAGGTACATATCAGGATTTGCTTGCTTTTCAAGTGTGTGTATGTTGACTGCTTTGTAAATTTTGAACTTTTACATGTTTTCAAACAAAAAAATTCAATATTTTCAAACTGAACTGTCAGTTTTGTCTTCAATGTGTCTAACATCTATTAATAAAACGTAATAATAGATGCACATCTATTATTACATGCAACTTCAAGAAACTTCTTGAAATATTCATCTTCAACTTCCCCAAAAGTAATTTTTTTTTTTTTTTGCGAACATTTCTGCATATTAGAAGGCATAGGATTGTGACAACCACATAGCCCACTGATGTGAGGCAAGCAGCTTAATATTTCACCATAAACAGGTGGAAAGATTGGGCTAGGGGCATATCTTGCTAAATTCTACCCCATGAAGAGTAGAATTAGCTTTCTGCCTGTGCTAAAAAATATAGGCAAGCTCATTTGGCTTTGGAATGGGCTGAGAATAAATGCTGTGTGTAAATAAATATATACTGTATATGTCAATCACTTGGGCCGTCAGAGACTCAAACCACCAACACCCAAAAGCAGAAGATGGTAGCTCTTCCAACTAAGCTTCTGAACATCCACAATAGAGTGAGTGTTCAAAGCTACTGAACACTCACAGTAGAGTAGGTGTTCAAAAGCTTGGTTGATAGAGTTACCATCTTCCACTTTTGGGGTCGGAGGTTTAAGGCTCCAATGGCCCATTTGAATGAATTGTTTTATCCACGATTATTGTGGCTGCAAATTTATATATACATGTATTTAGGGAAAAATGTTGGTAAATATTTTGCAGGGCTCAACAGTTGGATTCGAGTGACCACCTGGTAGAGTTTTACCTGGCCCTGCACTATGCACACTGCTACCTTCTTAACGAGGCCACTCAGCACGTGAAGTTGGCCCTCTACCTTCGTTCAGCTCATCCCCACTCTCTTCACCTGCTGATTCTCCTTCTCTCAGCACAGAAGGACTATGAGGAGGCACTAGAGGTAAGAAGAGGAGCAGTAACGCCTTCATTTTTAACCAAGATTGTTTCTGTTTAAGACTTTATATTAGCAAGTAGGAACAAAATATATTTTCTGCTCATAGCATAATATAGTATTTTCATGCTATCAGTGCTTTTATTTAATCCAAATGCTGTAAATTACAAATCAATATATGTGTGTGTGTGTGTGCTTGTTAACACTTTTGCTGCTACATTCATCTATGTTCACCAGATTCATGATAAATGGTTTTTATTTAGTGAGTGTTGGCCATTGTAATTTTTATGATGCAGCATTGCTTTGTGACATACATTCCACTCTCATTCCAGGTCTTATTGTTTTTACCCCTTTAACTGGCCCATCTGTATAAATATTAAAGAGCCAGGGAGACTTATGGCCACCCCTAACATTAAATCCTCTCCTAATAAATATTAAGGTTGTACAATGGAATCGAACCTGTGATTCTGAGCTCCTCGGGCACACACACTACTGACTGGACCACGACGGGTTTAAAAAGTCTCTCCAGTCAATAGTGGATGTCATCTGAGGAGTTCAGAGATGTGGGTTTTATTTCATCATACAGCTTCAATACGTTTTCATAAATTCAACAGGATGTTGTGATTTAATTAGACATCCTCTCCTAATTTTTTCCCTACTCTCACTCATACTCTGCTTCATATCTATTTGTATAAATTTATACAAATAATTATTATTGTATAAATTATTATTGTATAAATCTATTTATATATTTGTTTTACTGATGGTTAATAAGCTCCCTTTAAATAAAGGGGTCAATGAAACCTCCCACAATGCAAGGTTTTCCCAGAATACATCGCTCAGGCAGATTGAGGATCTAATGTGTATGAGTGTACACAGTGGTTTGTACAACTGGATAAGATAACTAATGGTTGGTTTGTAAGGAAGATATGTAAGAGTGAAATACAAGGGGGTTAGAATGATGTTAGATGAGCAGGTGATGAGTCACAATAACGTGGCTAAAGTATGTTGACCAGACCACACACTAGAAGGTGAAGGGACGACGACATTTTGGTTCGTCCTGGACCATTCTCAAGTCGACAATCAACTTGAGAATGGTTCAGGACGGACCGAAATGTCGTCGTCCCTTCACCTTCTAGTGTGTGGTCTGGTCAACGATGTTAGATGACTTTATTTATGGGAGAAGAAAATGGTGCCTTGTATTAGATCCAGGTCCCATGATGGCATACTACTTCATGTTCAGGTAGGATTTCCTGGAAGCTTTTCTCTCTTTCTCCCTTGGGCAAGAATTCTTAGGGGAAACAAACTTTTATAGACAATCCCCATTTAAAAGATGGCTTTTAACATCAAAATGTTAAAATAATTTAGAACTGAGTGCTTAAAGATTTTTTTTCCACCCATCCATAGCTAGTTGAGGCATCCCTCGCAGAATATCCAGAGAACCTACATCTTTTGTATGTTCGTGCTACTCTAGAGGAGGCTGTGTACGGTGGAGATGTCGCCCTGCTCACTGCACGTCATATGTTGACACTTTGGCAGAAGCTGTATAAGGAACAATTAATAAGTGATATCAGTGATGCTCAGTCTCAGCGGCATGCCAACCATGACACTTACAGCATATTCAATATGTCAGACAAAGATACAGGTACTGTATATTTAATAGACATTTTGTATTGAGAAGATTCTCCTTCATCAACATAAATACACTTATGAATTGGATCATTTTTATTATGATCCACAATATAACTGTACTGAGTGATGGCACATTTTTAAAGTTAATCTTCTGTTTGTTATATGAACTCTTTTGTTATCTAATTCCCTTATAACTTTCAACACAGTACTCTCTTTGGCATTGTTGTCCTTTGTGTTAACATTTTATAATGTGTGTGTGTGTGTGTATGTATGTATGTATGTATGTATGTATGTATGTATGTATGTATGTATGTATGTATGTATATGTAGTATATACTGTATATATATATATATATATATATATATATATACAGTATATATACAGGTATATATATATATATATATATATATATAATATATATATATATATATATATATATATATATATATTATATAAAATATAATATTTTGTATATGTGGTCCATTGTGATCTGTGCATCTGTGCTTTGCTTGAGAACCTGTGTTGACTTAAGACTTCCTGCAAGTAAACCATATATGTTTGCTTCAGAGTTTCAAAATTCCCCCCCTCTTGCAATCTATTTCTTATTTACACTGAAGGGCTGGTCATAACCTTCTCATTGAGAACCTGACCCTTTCCCCGCAGCCCCGACCCCTGCTGAAAGCACGGCTCCCTCCTCCATGGGACTTGTCTTCTCCGAAGTGGTGTCCTTGAACCTTAGACTTCTCTCTCCTACAATTCAAATGGAAACTAATCCTGAGAAACACGTGACAAAATCCCAACTCACCCTTGACTCTCCCCCTCACCCCCCCACAGCTTCAGTACATGCCGAGAGTGTAGCGGCTTCACGCGTGGAACAAGCTTTGTCCGAAGTGGCGTCCTCACTCTCATCCTATCAGCCAAAACCTGGTCCACATCAAGCCTGGCTGCTTCAGATACAAATTTGGCTTCTTACAGCTCAGTTGTATATAAAGTAAGTGTCAACTAAGCTGTTACGACAACAGCGTGTTGTTGTAACCTCTTTGCTCAGACAACGTGTCTTGTGGCATCAAGATTGTACCGCTAGTAGTGTACGATGTACCGGAAATGTACAAATTGTTCTGTTGATTCCTGGCTTAAACTTAACATATGTACTGTTTAGTTAGTGAAGAATTTTTGTATAAGTATTCATCAGTGACTAGATTTTAGTGTTGCATGTAATATTTCCTTACCTAATTAGGCATCTTAAGCTGCATTATACTGCCTGCATGTGTCTCACTCCTGCACAAATTTATCCAATTTTTGTCATTGCAAGAATAGTATCTGATCTGTCCTTGTGTAACTTGTAATAGTGAAGCATGTTACTGGTAATATGAGTAAGGCACGAGCCTGTTGTTAGTTCTCATAGTAATAATGATCAGTGGCTAATACTCGGATAGAATTGTGAATGTTTAGAGCTTGATAGAATTAGAATTCAAAGCCATACTAAATGGTCTTCAAATGTTTTTCTTATATTTATGGTCATCCCTTGTCAAATCATTGTAAAAAAGAAGTGAACTTTTCAACCCAACCATCTCAAATTTTCATGCAATTTGGTAAGATGGGAGAGGACATGAAGTAATAACATTTTTGTCCTGTGATGCTTGATGTTCATACAGCAGTGTTTCCAGTGTGGAAAAATACAACAAATTTAGCTTACAAGCTTAAAAATATGCATAACTTTGCTTCTAATTGAGATTGTGCTTTCATATTGTGCTAGTTTTGAAGCTAAGGAAGTACGGTTTTCAATGAAAAAGTTTTACATGAAGTGAAAAAACTCAGTATTTATTGTAAAACAATTTTTAATTAAAGCTATTTTTTCAGCTCCAAAATGAGCTCAACATTGAAAGTTCTACCTTGGATTGTAGTTTTTATCACAATGACAACCCTGCTGTGTGCATATCATGCATCATTTGTGGCTAAAATTTGACATGTGCATGTTACATCATGAACTCTAACATCCTACCAAATTTCACGTAAATCTGAGACGATTAAGTTGTGGTCTGTGTTGATATGGCATGGGGTACCCATGGGTATTTAGTATTTTTTATTGCTAGATGATGTGATTATAGTTAGTAGTTACTATAGAAAAAAATGAATGTTTCTGACTATTCTGCAATTTTTTTTTGGTTTAGGATAGAATGAAGGACAAAAACCTTTATGATATACATAATATTTTTATATATACAGTATATAAATATCTCCATTTTTGTCATATTAGAGGTCATATTTGCTCCATGCCCAAATGCCTTTGTTTATTTTAAAATGCAAGGTCTTTTCTATGGGAAGCCCTGTCGGCTCCCTGGAGCTATTGGACTGATGTTAGTTATATTAGTCTGGGGCTTCAGTCATATGGAGTTGTCATGCCTACCGGGAACCACTAGCTAAAACAAGGTTCCCTCAGAGAGGCAAAAGGAACAATGGCCTATGAAAACTCCACTCTGTGGGAGTATATTCACGTCTGCCATCAACTGGGGTTGGGCACCCAGAAAGATAGGCACCCCAAAACAGACCCAGTTGCAACCTGAGACCGAAACAGAGGCTAAAAACTCCTCGCAAGAAAAACAAGGAAACAAGCAAAGTCATCAACCCGACACACTGCTCGTTCGCGGCTTCCCTTCCCCTAAGGAGGGAAAGCCCTGCCTCACCCTGGACTTGTCATTCTGGACCTGTCCCATTTTAACCACTGAATTCCTTGCTCCTCCTTTCAGATGACCACTCTGTCCCAAGTCCGGCTTCTCTTGGAGCCGGGTTCGTGGATGGTGTCTCTGGACCTCTGGGGCGTGTACTGGCATGTTCTCATTCATCTGTGGATCAGGGACTGGCTAGGTTTTGTCATGGGGTGGCAGGCTTACCACTTCTTTTGCCTCCCTTTCGGGCTGAATCTGGTGCCTCGTGTTTTCACGTCTTTTTCCTGGGCAATGGTGGCCCGTCTGCGTCTGCTAGGTGTTCGGGTTTTGGCTTACCTCGACGACCGGTTGGTATGGGCTCTCAGCCAGGCCGTTTGTCTGCTCGCCGTGGATTTTGTTCTTGCCCAGCGCGCTGTGGATTTTGTTCTTGCCCAGCGCGCTGTGGATTTTGTTCTTACCCAGCTCGCCAGTTTCGGGTTCTTGGTGAACTGGAGGAAGTTCCATCTGATACCATCTCAGGTTTGGACTTGGCTGGGCCTGTCCTTGTCTCTACCTCTACCTCTGACGGTTTTTCTCTGGCTGCAATCTCTCCATCAGCTGTTTCTGAAAGGGTTCTGGGTCACTCTGCAGTTACTCGAGCAGCTGTGTGGGAGTTTGAACTTCTCCGTGCTGATCTACTCGCTGGGTCGGGTCTAGCTTTGGCATCTGTTCTGGTTCCTTCGGGGCCGTCCCTTCCTCCGATGAGCCGTCTGAGCCGTCCTGATCCTTGTACCGGGTGCTCTCCTTTCTCCTCGGTTTGTGGTGGCCCCTTTGGTTCAACACTGCTTTCATAAGGCATTGTTTGTGTTGGCTTTGGCCAACAACAGCAAATGAGCATCAGGTTGATGATAGTTTGCTTGTTTCCTTATTTTTCTTTTGTGGGGGGGGGGGGGGGGGGGGGGGGGGGAGTATTTAGCCTCTGTTTTGGTCTCAGGTTGCAACTGGGTCTATTTTGGGGTGCCTACCTTTCTGGGTGCCCAACCCCAGTCGATGGCAGACATGAATAAACTCCTCACAGAGTGGAGTTTTCATAGGCCATTGCTCTTTTTGCCTCTGAGGGAGCCATGTTCTAGCTAGTGGTTCCCTGTAGGCATGACAACTCCATATGACTGGAGCCCCAAACTAATATAGCTAACATCAGTCCAATAGCTCCAGGTAGCCGACAGGGGCTTGCCCAGAAAATGGCTTTTCATTACATTCAACTCTCTTTTTTTAAGTCTGATTCTATTTGTTGCCATGTTTTCTGTATAGATATTGACATTAATTAGATGGGTATACAGGCCTCCTTTATTGAAGGATCCCTTGTTGTATGTGGTCAGTACAGTAGAGTCTTGAGAATCTGGCACACTTGAGGCTGATTTGTTGCCACATTTGTGATATTACCATAATTTTCAATATGGTAGATATTACTGATGCTTCCTAATTACAGAATTAGCACAGATTTATTTACTACACATAGTCTTTAAATGTAAAAACTGTACTGTATACTGTATTTGTATACAGTGACACTTTGATTGTTTGGTGTTCCTAGTAACTCCTTATGGTTAGCAATTCTGATTGAAAAGTAATTACTGTATATTGAGAACCCATTCATTCGAGCCCCATTTATGTGGATATCCATGTTGTACGGATACCCCCCCCCCATCCTCTCCCCATTACCCCCCCCCCCTATACCCTTTCCCCAATATGCCTTCTACCCTCTTCCTAATACTTCCCTTCTTCCCTCTCCCCAATACCCCCCCCCATTAGCCCCTCTCCTGTATCCCCCCTGTACCCTCTCCCCAATACCCCCATCTACCTTCTCCCCAATATCCTCCCTTTACCCTCTTCCCTCAATACTCCCTTCTACCCCAATATACCCACTACTATCCCAAATATTCCCCTGTAACCCCAACCCAATTCCTCCCCTTTTCCCCAATATCACCTCCTCCTCCACCATCTTTACCTTTCTCCCCTCTCCTCTGATCTCTTTCCTATCCAGCTTTCTCCCTCTTTCTCCTTCCCTCTCTTCAGACATTCCCCCTCTCCCCCTTCTCTTTCCCTGTCTACCACTTCTCCTTTCCCCACTACCCTCCCCCTGTCTCAAAAGAATTAGATAACAATTTTTTTTTTTATTAATACATTAGGTAGATCTGCATTAGTGTACCTGTACTATCAATTTTGATAACTGACAGTTTCTTCCCCCCATCTTTTTTTTATTTATTCATGTTTATATATTTAGTTACACATTCATGAACTTTATTAAATATTAAATGTTAGATATGGAAATAAAATAAAATTATTATGCCTGTAAATGTAATAAGAAAGTTTTGAAAAGGAAGTGCTTCATGTATTGCGAAAACAAACCTCACAATGTTTCATGAAACATTATGAGGTTTGAACAATGTTTCATGAAACATTATGAGGTTTGAACAATGTTTCATGAAACTAAATCGCCACCACCGCTGTCTCTCATTTAAATGGATTGCATCACAATTGAAGGCACAATAAGTTACCTTAACAATAGATTCTGTTACTATAATGCTACTATAACCCCCTATCACAAGTTCTAATTATGATAGGGAGTCTATAGTAGCACTTTACGAACCTGCTGAATTTGGTATGACTAATTCTTGAGACTCCACTGTACATCACGACGGGAAACACATCAGGATTATTGTTGTTTTGAAGTATTAAATGCTCTTGTTTATTGTGTCTACTGATTACTGCTGTAACAGATAAACAATTCATTTAGCCTACATGCAAACATGGTGTGTGTACAAATATTGTAGTTGACTGTTGTTCCAAAAATAAGTCAAAAGACTGTGGAAAAAAGACTGTGGCATGGTGCATTTGTGTACTTAGTATACTATACCTGTATTTTGTGTGTGTTCAATTTTTACTTACCTGATGGATCATTTTGTCAGCAGTAGTGTCTGCTAGCTTTTATGATATTAAATATCATTAGTTCAGTCCAAACAAGAAAAAGAAAGGTTACTGAATTTAAAATAATGTCTTAAACATTGAATTTCTTGACGTTTCAGAACAGATCAACTGACTGAGGCAGCTAATTGTCTACAAGAAGCTTCCTCTATCTTCCCAATGAGCCATCATATCATGTTCATGGTGAGTATGGGATAGAGAATTAAAGGTCAGATGTTAATACAAGTATAGTATAGTAATATAATGATTATTGGCCTTGTATGGGGCAAATGGCCTTGTGGTGTTCCCTTTATTCTTATGTTTAATGTAAAATAAATTCAAAGGAAAGAGTACCGAGGTTGAATCGTACCCACAATCTAAGGTCTCTCAGGCGACACATTACTTAAGGCATTGCCAACAGGTCAAAGTTTTGAAACCGAAGGATCTATTATCCTAATCAGTGAGTTTGATTCACCAACATTGTTTTTTTATTTAAAAGTTTGCTATGATATGACTATGATTCTCAAGTCTGTTTCCAACTTGCATTCCTTTGTGATGCTTTTTAGTGTTCAATTGTCCGGGACTGAATCACCTTTATATTATTTGTTAACGAGTGACTGTTTTATGATGGTTTACTGTTGCCTGCCTACGTTCTTTCCTGTATTGTGAGCATATTGTGCGCATTGATCATTAGCCAGATTTCACGGATGACCAACGTGGTTATTGTTACAGTACACTAGTTCGGATTTGTATAGGGGTGAATTAAATGGTTTATATATTAAATATATAAACTAAATGCTATATAGTCATAATAGCTTAGTGCTTTCTCCTGATAATTACCTTACCTTGCCTCCAGGTGAGCTATTCAAATGGCTCGAGCTGGTCAAAATAATGTAATTATATATCATTAGAGTTTATAAAAATTACAAAATATAGTTGAATGAAGTACTGTACCGTATAAGAGTTCAGTGAGCAAAAACTGTACAGCATGTCCATGTATTATGGCTTACATACAATAGTGCTAACTAGTTGTCACAATAGTCACTCGGCTGCCACCTGACAAGTGACTTTTAAAACGTCATGTTATTTTAAAAGTTGTTGACTAGGATGTAATCTGCTGCAGTGGACAGGTTTACCTGTACCTGTAGTTTACTTATAGGTTTCGAGGGTTATTCTACTATCCACGCCCGGCCTAGGGTCAGGCTTGTTTGGTGAGAGCTTACTCCGTCAGGCTGTTGCTTGTAGCAGCCTGCAGATGTGATGACATGTGATGACTGCAAAGGATGATATCCTTTGGCTCAGATGTCCACTAAAACCAGGCTGATGTGGCACTTTCTGTGTTTGAGCTTTGTTGCTGCCCACAGAAGTGCATGACTTGATCTGAGGTGTCTGTGGTATGGTAATCTGGATTGTGTTGTGCCATTATCTACCATTTCCAGTTTAAAAAGCAATTAGTATTTTTTTAAGAAAAGTGACTTAAGATATTTAGAGAGTTTGTGCTGTTTGGACACTGGAATTCTATTTATCTTTTATGAATATTTGACTCAGACATTTGATTAAAGTGGAATTGATTATACTTTACAATAAATAAAATGGAGGCTTTGCCTTCCAAAGCAGTTAATGTATAGGAAGTAGAGATAATAGATATTTGACAGACATTTGCAGTCTACTAAATATTCTATGTTGTTAGGCCTTTTAAACAGGTGTGAGTTTGTTACAATTACGACACCACATGCTTCCATATTTGTGTTTAGTTGACCGCTACAGAAATGCTCGGCTGGTTTTTGTATAACTGAAACATAACCAAGTAGCTGCTGCTCCCTTTGAGCTCATAGTACGCTTGACTTTGTTCTTGACTACAATAAGGAATCCTGGGTTTGATTCTCAGGTGGGACAGAAATGGTTACCAGTAGGCACAGAACGGTCTCCGTGGTGTAGTGGTAAGACACTCGCCTGGCGTTCCGCGAGCGCTATGCCATGGGTTCGTATCCTGGCCGGGGAGAATTTACTGGGCGCAATTCCTTAACTGTAGCCTCTGTTTAACGCAACAGTAAAATGTGTACTTGGATGAAAAAACGATCCTTCGCGGCAGGGGATCGTATTCCAGGGACCTGCCCGAAACGCTACGCGTACTAGTGGCTGTACAAGAATGTAACAACTCTTGTATATACTGTATCTCAAAAAAAAAAAAAATAATAATTCAGTACTGTATGTCTATAAAATAACATAAGTCCATAAAATTAAATGCTATCTAATATGAAGTAAGATCATATTACAGTATTAATAAATTTTTGTTTTAAGTCTTTTGTTGTTGATATGTCACTTGTTAGTAAATTATTGCATTGTGTTATGTCTCAGAAAGGTCTACTGCACGAGAAGAAGAACGAGTTTCACGAAGCCCAGACATGTTATCAAAATGCTCTGGCAATCAATCCTTACCACTTGAAGAGTCTTCGACACCTTGTAAGTACACCAGTCATTATACCATTCTCTATCTTATTTTGTTCTTTTATTGTTGTTGTAATGGCATTGATATCAAATATAAAGAAAAAGGTATATATAATAAAGAAACATAGTTAAGGATGGGAGCCGGTCGGCCGAGCGGACAGCACGCTGGATTTGTGATCCTGTGGTCCTGGGTTCGATCCCAGGCGCCGGCGAGAAACAATGGGCAGAGTTTCTTTCACCCTATGCCCCTGTTACCTAGCAGTAAAATAGGTACCTGGGTGTTAGTCAGCTGTCACGGGCTGCTTCCTGGGGGTGGAGGCCTGGTCGAGGACCGGGCCGCGGGGACACTAAAAAGCCCCGAAATCATCTCAAGATAACCTCAAGAAGGTGCTCTGCCACCTTCCCTGAAAAGATTTTGAATTGTCAGGATGTACCATCACTCCAGAAATAGTTTTTAATTAAAAAACTCTTTTTTTGGAGTATGACATTGGAAGTGTGCTTGTTTCGGGTGGCATGATAGAGACAAGTCGTGATGGGATACTTAGAGACATTGACAGTAGAAAAAGTGGAAATGTTCACAATGAGTCCCAATAGAACAAAGAGGGGCATGGCTGGAAGCATGAGACTCGGATGAACCCTAGAGATGCTTTAGAGTTTTCTTTTGGTGTAAGAGTAGTGGGAAAATGGAATGAACTAAGGGAGCAGGTTGTAGAGTCAAATGTCATTCATAACTTTAAAAGTAGATATGATAGGGAAATAGGTCAGAAGGTGGTAACACATTTGACAAGTGTTTAATGACAAGGAGTACAGGGAAAACGGAACACCACCTGCGTAACTCTCATCCTGTAACTACACTTAGGTAATCACACACATGCACACAACACGTTGGAAATTTTGATGGCCAAACGTTGATTATACATTTCAAGAGCATGTTTTTCCCACTGATTATGGTACTCAAATGTGGTAAAATACAGACAGCTACACGGAAAGGCATTGTCCAAGAGCTGAAGCTGTATCCCAGATGCATAAATAGATGAGTACACACAAAGACACGCGTCACCATGACAGGCTGCCGTGCTGTGCTGCATGAAAGTAAGTTGGGCTTATTTTCTTAAAATGTAATTAGCCTACTTAGAAAATTCTTTTTTAAACAAAGGCATTGCCATTAATGAAGAACAGAACAGGTTGCGGGCAACTTGGTAAATGTATAAAGTTTTAATGATGCCTGCATAATGATACAGAGGAGGGGGAGGGGATACAGAGGAGCAGGGTGTTGTGAACCCAACCAGACTTCTCATTTAATACATATTATTTATTTTTTTATGCAATCTGCCAATTCGTTAATAATTCGACGTGTTAGTACAAATTATAGCACCGTAATATTGATGTTTTCCTTGCATCAGCCTCGATGGGCTAGTTGGGATGTATGGGACTCATATATTCCTGGTTAGACTTTATTTGCTGAGAGAAGGATTGGGAACATGGTGCCTTTCCCCCCACCTGCGTGTGGCGATGACCAGGGCAGGTAGGTCCCTCAGGTGTGGGGATGACTAGGGTGGATAGGGCCCTCAGGTGTGGGGATGACCAGGGTGGGTAGGGTGCCCTCAGGTGTGGGGATGACTAGGGTGGGTAGGGCCCTCAGGTGTGGGGATGAGCAGGCTGGGTAGGGCGGCCCTCAGGTGTGGGGATGACCAGGGTGGGTAGGGCCCCTCAGGTGTGGGGATGAGCAGGGCGGCCCTCAGGTGTGGATCAAAACTCCCACACATCAATTCCAGTGTTATTTTTTACTCTCTTGGGACTCATACATTTTAGGGTGTTGCCACGGTGGCGGGAAGGTGACGTTGTTGCCATGATGGCGAGAAGGTGGCGTTGTTGCCACGGTGGCGGGAAGGTGGCATTGTTGCCACGGTGGCGGAAAGGTGGCGTTGTTGCCACAGTGGCGGGAAGGTGGCGTTGTTGCCATGGTGGCGGGAAGGTGGTGATGTTGCCACGGTGGCGGGAAGGTGGCGTTGTTGCCACGATGGCGGGAAAGGGGGCGCTATTGCCACAATGGCGGGAAAGAATGACAGACTGGGCGGAGCACGTGTAACTCGTTTAGTAACACGGAAAGCTACAGTTACACGTTACAGTTACACTGGTAGGTTAGGAGGCAGGAAATTCTCCTAAGGTTTCAAAACGTCATGAAAACCGTTAATTGAATGTTTCCTCTCCTAACGTAACAGCCTAAGCAAGAGGGCCCAAAACAGAAAACGTGACAGTACGTCACTTTCCTGGGCCAATTTGATTTTGAATTACGTTGATTTTTAGCCTGAATGTGCATACGAGTGAAAAGTGACATATTTTGTAAGAGAACGACGGGTTATATGGGCATCCATTGTCATCCGAGTCTCTGTCCCCGCCCCCTTCCCCCCCTGACACCTCGCCCACATCTCGCCCCACCTGTCCCCCACACCTCGGCCCCCCCCCACACCTCGGCCCCCCCCCCACACATCGCCCCACCTGTCCCCCACACCTCGGCCTCCCCCCCCCCACACACATCGCCCCACCTGTCCCCCACCCCTCGCCCCACCACCTGTCCCCCACACCTCGCCCCCCCCCACACCTCGCCCCCCCCCACACCTCGCCCCACCTGTCCCCCACACCTCGCCCCCCCACACCTTGCCCCCCACACCTCGCCCCCCACACCTCGCCCCACCAGCCCCCTACACCTCGCACCACCTGTCCCCCCCCCCCCCACACCTTTTGTGTAAGGGGAGTGTTGATGGTTCCTCGGATGGGGGAGGTATTGATCATGCACATGGTAGGCACTTGGGCTCTAAGCGTGCATGCTGCAATGTTGCACCCTGAGAGCCAGTCCTCTCCACCCTCCCCCCCCCCCCCACATCATTAGTGAAGGTTCATACACTGAGGATGACAAAGAAATTAGCAAAATCCTAAAAAAAAAACAGTATGAGGACATGTTTAGCACTCCGATACACAGCATGAAAGTGGAAGATTCGGACAATTTCTTTATGAGTGATATCCAAACACCTGTAAATATAACTGATATCAACACGAGCGTGGCAGATTTTGAAAGAGAAATTGATAATATGCCCATGCACTGAGCCCCGGGTCCAGACTCATGGAATTCAATATTTACAGTATAAAGAAATGCAAAGTGCCAGTAGCACAGGCATTCAGTATAGTGTGGAGGAAGAGGTTGGACACGGGGGAGATACCAGATGCGCTGAAAGCATCTGGTATCAGCGAGTATTAGAAATATTGCCGGAACAACCGTGGACATCTTCAAGAGAAAACTAGACTGTTTTCTAAAAATAAAAGTGCCGGACCAACCGGGCTGTGGTGGGTATGTGGGCCTGCGGGTCGCTCCAAGCAAAATCTTGGTGGACCAAACTCAAACAAGTCAGAAGAACTTGTTTGGGAAGTAGAAGAACTCCCAGAACCCCATCAAGCAGGTACCCCTCTCTGCTTTACCCCTCACATCACCCCTGTGTTTCCTCACATCTGCCCACAACAAGGTAGCGGAGGGTGTAGCAGCAACAGGTGTTTCTCCATAGCCAGTGGAAACGAACTCACGAACAAGTGGAGACAAACTGTGTGAAGAACTCGACAAGAGATTCCAGGAGGTCTTCACAATAGGACAAAGAGAAGCCCCTGTACTAAATGAGGAAGAGGCAAACCAAGCAACCTTGGAGGGTTTGACCTCACAAGTGATGAGGTCAAAAGAAATCTGTTGGAGCTGAATGTGACAAAGGCTGTTGGGGCTGACAGAATCTCACCGTGGATACTAAAAGAGGGTGCAGAAGCACTATGTGTGCCCCTCTCTATGGTGCATAACAGGTCACTGGAAACAGGAGACCTACCAGAAAGCTGGAAGACAGCTAATGTAGTCCCAATATACAAAAGGGTGACAGGCAAGAGGCACTGAACTACAGACCAGTTTCCCTAACTTGTATACCATGCAAGGTGATGGAGAAGATCGTGAGGAAAAGGCTCGTAAAGCATCTGGAGGGAAATAGCTTTGTAACACACCACCAACATGGGTTCAGAGATGGTAATTTGGGCCCCAAAGTTTTAATAGAATTCTATGACCAAGCAACAAAAATTAGGCAAGAAAGAGAAGGGTGGGTAGATTGCATTTTCTTGAACAGTCAGAAAGCCTTTGACACAGTACCCCATAAAAGGCTGTTACAAATGTTGGAGCAACAGGCAGGAGTAAAATGCAGGATGCTCCAGTGGATAAGGAAGTATCTAAGCAACAGGAAACAGCGAGTAACTGTGAGGGGAGGGGTGGGGGGTGGGAGTGGCGAGATGTTGCCAGCGGAGTCTCACAGAGCTCTGTACTTGGACCCATCCTGTTTCTTATGTAGCAGGAGGATCCATCCTGTTTCTATATATATATATATGATAGGAGTCCATACCTAGTTAAACACAAGACAAAGTTAAAGAAGAATCAGAAGTATGCCACAGACTAGTCCCGAAACTGAGAGGTATGAGCTACGAGGAAAGGCTAAGGGAGCTGATCCTCGCGTCCCTGGAAAACAGAAGAGTAAGGGGAGACATGATAACCACCTACAAAATTCTCAGGGGAATTGGCAGGGTGGACAAAGACAAACTCTTGAGCACGGGTGGAACACGAACAAGGGGACACAGGTGGAAACGTAGAACCCAAATGAGCCACAGAGACGTAAGAATTTTTGTTTTTCTGTGTCAGAGTAGTTAACGGATGGAATGCATTAGGCAGTGATGTGGTGGAGGCTGACTCCATACACAGTTTCAAATATAGATATGATAGAGCCCAGTAGGCTCAGGAATCTGTACACTAGTTGATTGACAGTTGAGAGGCGGGACCAAAGAGACAGAGCTCAACCCGCGCAAGCACAACTAGGTGAGTACAATAAGGTAGGGGTGGGTGTAGCAGCAACAGGTGTGTCTCCCTACAACAAGGTAGGGGAGGATGTAGCAGCAACAGGTGTGTCTCCCTACAACAAGGTAGGGGAGGGTGTAGCAGCAAC